AACAGAGAATTAAGAAAGCAGTGCATGCAGATGAAATATTATCTTGGCCAACAAACAGAATAAAAGAAAGCAATCTGGACTACTGCAAAATTGGTAGCAGTTTTAAGCATTTGAAAGACAAATGACATCGAAGAAAAGACTGGGTTAACAAGGGAGCACTTTAGGAAAGTCTAATCTCCGCTGGCATGCTGACTGGGAAGGTCGGCCCAGTGCACCCGTTCTCAGCTGGAGTCAGGCTCCCTCTGCCTGGCCAATTGTCCTATGCACTTCAGATAGCAACCAAATTGAAGGTGCCTTCACTCTGCCAGCGCCTTATATTCTACCAGCTTAAAGACAGTTTCCTTTTCCTTGTCAATTTATGCAGCGTTTCTACAGAGTAAACGCTACAAAGGAGAAAGGTAGTGTTGTCAGACCTTTTTTTTTTCCTTTCTGAGCAGCAAAAGGCACTTTAGGAAGCAGTCTAAAGAGTTATTTTTAGCACTGCATGCATTCTCAAAAATGAAGAGTGAAATTCCTAAGTACGTTTTTAATCCAACTTTTTTCTCAAAGAAACTATCTTTGACTTGACACACTATGTTTTGAAATTTAAAGCAAACCTCTTGAAAACTGGTCAACATGAACTTCATATAGTTTACTACTTCAGTTTTCATTTACCTCTAATTTATCTACAGATACATTTTACCTTTAAAAGCATACTATAGCCATGAGTAGAGAGCAAATACTCGGTTTCCTTTTCAAAACAGAAATTTAGCACGAAATTCTAAATTCAGAACCTGGATTCACCCTCATCCTCAACCAGGACAAGACTCAAATTATTAACTGAAAATGCATGACAATCATTTAATTTAAGGCACAAAAACGACTTATAAAGTTTGTACCTATGTAAACAAGTACTTTCTAAAAAAGACACAAATATTTTATGAAATACCTAACTTCTAAATCTTGCCAAGGGATCTGGAAGGTGTAAGAGACTTTATAAATCTCATTTCTTCATAAGAAGATGTCTTGCTATTTGATCTCTTTAAGAGGTCATTCCCAAGATACCTTAGGTGAAGACACAAGACCTGAGTTTGACTGAGATCAGAATGACTAAAATGCTGCAAATTTATCCCAAAGGGTTGGTTTTAATTTTGACACAGAAATTTCTATCTTTCTGATTTCAGAAGCATCGTTAATTTTTGGGAACATACTTCTTAACCTTCAGAAAAGTAAGTAATTTTTTCTGTCAATTTCTTTATTTTTAATTTTTATGTTTAGTAGTCTTAAACACTTGCAGATACGCTACAGAGTGTGCTCTACAGGGCTATTTATCAACAAACAAAATATTATGGCAGTGAATGAAGCAGTAGGTCAAAACTTACTCAAGCACTAATATGTTAGGAACCTTATAATATGCACTGATTTCTTCTCCATAGGTTCTACTGTAATAATATTAATGTTATCAAAGTTTTGAAAAATAACTTTTCTTAGTAATTTTTATGAACAATTAAATATTATATGAACCATATTTCCCCAAGCATTACTATACATATTTATAATTTACTCAAATTTAAACTTTTAAAGTAAACTATAATGTAAAATGCAAATGCCGCAATATTTATACATGTATGCATGCATGTCTATGTCAACCTAAGACAGTAACATTATGCAAACATTCTGCTCATCATTGACGCATTTTGATCACAAACACAGCAACTGAATTGTTAAACAGCCCTGGTATTTATAATAAATTTAGTTTTCTGTGCTATCCAGGCCCTTAACAGAGAACTTCAAAATCTTTAAGACGTGTCTTCCATATTGTCATCACATGAGATACTTTTCATACTAAATAACCTTGAACAGGAGTTGTCAGATTTTACACGATTTTTAATGAGTAATTAAGTAGGATGAGCTTGTGGTTAAACAACAGAGTTAGGATAAGGCATTTTGTCTTTAATTACTGGCTTTGCAATAAACTTTAACTTTGAGCAAGTCCTTCTTTACCTCAGTTTTCCACATCACAGCAAATGGTAACAATACTTCACTAACTCATGGGTTTGGCTTCAGAATTCTTCTTTTCACTGTGTACTGATAGGAAAGCAACCTGTTTTTAATTTGAAACAGACTCAGTGCTGCCCTTCATCAGCACATGGAATTCTCATTTATGTCAACAGCAGTTGCATTAAATACAGTGAGCCTAAAAGTAAATTAATATACTTAGCCTAAAAGTAAATGAAAAAAAAAAGGAATGGAAAAAAAATCATGGTTTCTCCTTGCCTACTCTTAAAAAATCTAACAGTTTATGGCAGCAAACACAAAACCATAAATAAAAATATTTTTGACAGAAGGCAAGAATTGCAGCCTGGGATAAATGAGAATGGAGAAAAGTGTACCAGGTCCATCTGTAGAGTACATTTAGCTCTGCTGCAAGAGCACCATCATAAAAAAATGGTTGCACATGCAAAATTCACTCACCATAGTATATCATGCTCTGTACACATTTGTCTCAACATAAACCAAACTTTAATGGCCTCACTATTTCAACTTTTCACACAATTTCCACTGCACACCAAGAAAAATTCTACTTTCTTCTCCTATGCAAGTGTTCAGCTAAAATAAAAATGTCAGAAATTTAGGAACAAAACCCTTTAAAAGTTCAAAATTAATACAAGGTTGGTTTTGCTCAGATATGTCTACGATGCAAGAAGAGAATCTACTAGAGAAGTTTTTTTTTTTTTTTCTGGAGAGAGATTAAATGTGAATACGCAGTTTTAGACTTCTACTTTGACCTGAAGGAAAAATTGTCACAGCACAAAAAGACAATTCTGGGGTTTTTTGGGAAAAAAACCCCAAACAAACAGAAAAGAAAATAATCAAGGAGCAGCTAGTTGGTCACTGCCAAGCTCAGGGAGGCAAACATCCCTATAACAAGCAGGCACATTTTAAAATTTGCCATTGCTTAGCCATCTACAGATAATGAGACTTGACAGTTCTTTATGGAAGGCAAGCAGGAGCTACAATTCTCCATAATTAGGCAATAATTAATCAATCCAATGATAGCAGCCTTGTAAATTTGGAAAACAGCAAGTGTAGCTGCCTATGTTTATGAAGTGGTCTTTTATACTGTTATACTGCCTGTATGCAGTCTCGGTCATTTAAAGGTCTGCCTGTCCAAGTGATGTTTTTTCACTTCAGTGTGTCTGTTACTGAACAGCAAAGAATTCTTGACTGGAGAAAGACATTCCTTCTGAAGGACAGGAGAATTTAAAAATAAAAGTGCAGACTAGATCACAATCCTACCAAGAAGCAGATTACCAGAGGCATAAGAACCACAGCAGAAGACAGTAACAGTGGCATTTTGACATCATCATGCATATGCTCTCTTTTTCTTCATAAAATAGTCAAACAGTGAGTTCTCTCATGCTTTTCCGGCTTTAGCATTCTTCCAAGCAACAAAGAATTCAGGGCCTCTACTTCTTGACACAGGATATGTACATCTGAAGTCTGACTTTATACCTTCACCTTTTTGCTTATGGTTTTCCAAAGCACCAGAAAACATTGTATCTTATGCATACTCAAAATTCTGACCTGCTATTTTTTGAACCAATAGCAGACTTTGTATGTCTTTTAAAGGTTGTATCTTTACTATACATAGCCAAAGTTTTCCTCTACTTTAAGCAGTTGTTCAGTAATGCTGACTCCTGCCTCTTAACATTACTAATAGCTTCGACTGTGAAATGTTTATGAAAAAATAAACTAAAGCTGATCTTAAGACAAGTTGTAGAACAGTATTTACATGCATATTTAGAAAAGTCTTTCAGCTCCACATCCTCTTCATAAATTGATGCTACTTCCACTAAATCAAGCTTTCCCCTAACATACATATACTTACTACTTAGATTTTATTGGTTGCACTTAATTTCTACCTTGTGTATGTTGGCACGTTTGTACTTCTCTTAGCCATTTCTAATTTACTTTATTTTTTCAGATGCAACATATATTTTATGTCTTTTGAAGTGTGGTATTAACAGAGAAGCGAGTTCAGGATGATTTAGTACCCCAAACACACAATGCTGTGAAAGCATCTTCACAGTGACTATAGCAGCAAGCACGCCATCAGCATGTCAAAATAGAGATGGACAAACACATTTAGAAACAGGCATACTTTATGCTGAATATGAAGGATATTACATTAACAACCTCTTGGTCATGCAACCATCAACCGTTAAAAACTATAGAATCAGCAAGGAGGGCACTAAAGGAACACTTCCAATGCACCAACACTTTCAACACACGAAACCAAGAGAAGGTAAACGACGACCACTGAGCCAAAAATAAGGAAACAGAGAAAGTTTTACCAGTTTTGGGTGGTTTGGGATTTTTTTTGTGTTTGTGTTTTTTCTGTTAATACAAATTTTCTCCGTTCTCGCCGGCTCTGTCCCTACGCTGTAACTCAGAGCGCCTGAGATGCAGCGGAGTTTCCAAGCAGCCCGTGCCGATGGGGATGCCAAGCCAAGCGGGCACTGCGAGGCGCCGGGGGGCTCCGGCGGTGCGGGGTGCGCCGGCTCGGGACCGGATCGTGACACAGGCACCTGAGTCAGGACACAGACGCTCCAGTCCCCGAGCGCTGCCGCCTCCTGGGAGCGCGACTGATTTACTGCCTTTCCTCCACCCGAGGGGAGATCTGTTAACGATTAAATCAGCAGCGACCGCACATCAAAGCCTTGTCCCCGGAAGCAAAGGTGAAGATTAACGTCCCTGCGGATCGCACTGAGCTTCTGCTCTTGCAATCGCTTTTAACTACCCCCAAACAGCGCATCACACAGCGACCCTCCCGGCGATGGCCAGGCACCTATAAACGCTTTACAACCCGCCCGCTGATTAAATAGCGATTAGAAACGTATTTGAAGTTGGGTGTTCTCTGCGGGCAGCGGCACCACACCGACCCTGCAAGCCCCGTCAGCGCCAGTGTCGGCCCGAGCCCTCCCGCCGGTGCCCCCTCCCCGCCCGCCCGCACTCACAGGTAGGAGGTGAAGAGGCTGAGGTTGGCGGGCACGGCGGTGAGCCCGCGATCGGAGCAGTCGGCGCGGAGCAGTACGCCGTCCTGCTCGCAGCGGCACGGAGCGGGGCAGCCTCGCGGGCGCTGCCCGCCGCCCCGCGCCCCTCGCCGCAGCGCGGGCAGGCAGAGCAGGAGCAGAAGGAGGAAGGCGCGGGCAGCGCGAGACGTCGCCATGGGGCCCCGGGGGTACCTAGAGCCGCGGGGCGGCCGCTCTCATGCCCCGCGGCGCGGCGGGGGCGAAAGTCGGGCGCCCGTCTGGGCTCGGGGAGCTCCTGCGGCCGCCGCCGCCGCGCTGCTGTCTGTGGTAGCATCTCAGCTTACACGCTGCTTTAAAGCCCTGGAGCCGGCACCGCGCGCCCGCTGACGCCGCCCCAGCCTTGCCCGCCGCAGCGCGCCGGGCCCTGCCCGCGCCGCCGTGCGAGCGGGCGGGCGGGGGCGGCCGCGGGCCCGCCGGGCAGGCGGGAAGGAGGGAGGGGGGGAACCCTCTTCTGCCGACCTGCCCTCCGTGCGAGCGGCCACAGCGCCTCGGGGCTCGCCTCAGGGCGGTGATCTCACAGAATCACGGAATGGGTCAGGTTGGAAGGGATCACAGTGGGTCATCTGGTCCAACCTCCCTGATGAAGCAGAGTAGTCCTAGAGCACGTGGCACAGGATTGCGTCCAGACAGTTCTGGAATATCTCCGGTGAGGGAGACTCCACAACAGCTCTGGGCAATCTGTTGTAGTGTATGATCACCCGCTCTACTCATATTCAGGTGGAACTTCCTGTGCATGATACAATCATAGAATCATAGAATACGCTGAGTCGCAAGGGACCTATCAGGATCATATAACTTCTGGCCCTGCACAGGACACCCCAAGAATCTTACCATGTGCCTGAGAGCGTTGTCCAGGCACATGGACAACTACCCATTGCCTCGTGTCCTAGTGGTTGGCACCACCAAGAAAAGCCTGACTCCATCTTCTTGGCATCTCCCTCACCCTTTAGATATTTATACACATTATTGAGATCCCCTCTCAGTTGTGTCTTCTTGAGGGGGAATCTCCCTTGAGGGCAGGTGAGATGTTTCAGTGGATGTTTCAAGAAGGTGGGAGAACAGGCAGCTATGGAGGTGGGGGTATGGTTCCAAGGCAGTGGAGTTAGCAGTGTGTCTCTGAGTTGGTGGGACAAAGGCTTGGGTGTTCCTGTGGGCTGGAAGAGAGGTCGAACCTGTAAGGCCTTATTTAGTCTGTCAGTGCAGACCCAGCTGCAGACTGAACCATGGTCCTGGTCAACAATGGGAATCCACTCGCTTGCCTCATGACCACTCAGTTAAATCTCATGCTTACCAACATGCAACGATTTTCTAAAGGAGATCAGCTGCCGAGGGAAACCGAGTTCTCAGTGAGGCTGCCACTGAAAGTTCTTGAGCTGTCCGTCAGCTTCTTGCCAGAGGTTTCTACTCCTCAGGTAGTGGCCTTTGTGCTAAGCTTCTGTGATTGACTATGCCAAAGTCATTAGTGAAGGAAAGTAATGATGGCATTTTTTTAAAGCTTTTTTTTCTTCCAAGTCAGTTTTCAGTGTGAACAAAGTTGACCACAAAGTCCAGATTTGAGACTAGCTACCAGTTTAAGAACCCAGTCCCAGCCCAATTCTTGTTTAGACTGGTGACTAAATTGTTGGTCAGGCTACTCAGTATGCGTTGGAGAGCATTAGTTAAAGGTATTCTGCTACACTGTCTTTGAATCTACAATTAAGTCTGAAATGAGAGCCTAATGAAAGGGCCAGCAAAAGACATGCTTTTATATTCCACTCAGTTTATAATACCCATTCTCGCCTCTGGACCATCATTTGGTATAATCTGAACTGCAGAAGGATCTTGTACTGGAGTTCAAGTGCTTTATTTAAAATAATAAAAAAGGAATCTGCTGTCTGGCTGGTTAGACAAGCCAGAATGTTTTGTAAATCTAGGCCTGTGAGGCAGCTTGGAAGCTTTTCACCAAGCATCACCTTGTCCTAAGCTCATAACAACAATGGTTAAAAGCATAGAATTTTCGTGAGAAAGGTCTGAGCAGAAAAATTCTTCAGGAAGTGGATTTTTCATTCTGTCCTGTCATATGTGTCCAGGAGACCTGTTACCCCAAAACCTCTATCTGTCCTTTGCTCATGGCTAATATCTCTGCAAAGCAACCATACTTTTGTTACTGTATTTAGTAGGTTTAAAAGAGTTTCTCACTGTGCTGAATAGGTACATGGTAATGGTTCAATACATTGAGAAAAGTTTACTTTCTCCTAGGACAAAGTAGTTTCTATTAGGCATCTGTACTGCATGATATTTTAGTCCTTGAGGTGCCAAAAGACTTTGGAATAGTTGTGCTCAACAAATAAGTAAATATTTTTTGTGAATGTGGTAAAATAGTGTTTATATAATCTGAGGCTTTTGCATACTTCTTTTGTTTGTTCTAGAAAGCAAAGAGTATACTGTTTCTTCATCTTCTGTTGAGGATTTATCAGCTTGCACAAGATATCTGAAGTTAGACAGACATAGATTAATTAGTAGTGAGGGTTCAACTGTAAAAATTCTCCTTTGAATGTTGTTTATTTTGCATTAATACACTTAGTGACTTCCTTTAAAACATTTAATGTACTTCTCTACAATTTTACTGAAAGATTTTTTGAAAGAAAAGTAGCTTGAAGATTAAAAAAAGGATTTGATAGGAGTGGATATGGATAATCTCTGCTTTTGTGCATTTAAATTAGGCTGTACAGTTATTTCCTTTTCGTGTTTCTCATAGGTCTCTGGTTCTCCATAAAGTGAAAAGGAAAATCATCTGTCAGTTTGGTAACATCTCTGGGAGATGCTGTTACTGTTTCAAAAGGCCATTGGGACTGTTAAGATTTCCTACAGGTTCCAACATCTCACCATAATGTCCCAGTCATTTGGAGTGACACCCATGGTACAGCCATCGGTGGTCTTCAGTTTTCATCATGGCAATGAACAAATCCCTTAGGGGTCTCAGCAGAGTGCTGTCTTGAATCTGTCTTTCTGATACTCGAGCAAAAACCCTTACCTTTTGAATATGACATATGATGTGACGATGCTCCATCCTAAGGTTTATCGGTAAAAAGGATATCTTTATGGAATGTTATGTACAAATAAGCAAAATTATATGTTGTGTTATGTATTGTTATCACACAAAAAGCATAACAATTCATATTTCAAGAATGCACAATGTGTATATATATGTATTTTTATATAATGTGTATATATGTATTTAACATGAATCTTTTAGATCGTTACTTACAGTATGACAGAGTTTAGTGTTTATGTGAAATTTGGGTTTAAAATATAGGACTGTAAAAAGAAAACTGGGTATCTAAAATATTCACTGCTATATAGATTTTGTAAACTTAAACTGGATAAAATTATTTTAAAAAAGAGTGTGGCTAAAACATTTGACAATGGAAAATTATGCTTAATCCTAAAATGATCAGTTGTCCCAGCTAAAATGGATTTCAAAGCAGAAATGTTAACAGATCAGCACTAACAAAGGTAGCTGCTATTTTTTAAATATTAAAGCAAATCCAATACAGAGACAAAATAAAAAGCACTGCAGCAAAGGACAAGATAGTTTCCAGTTGATTGTAACATGTTTTTTCCTTTCCTGCCTATGGATGATGCGTAGGTTCTTAGAAGGCAGTAAGTACAACTGTGTGTTTAGACTGTGGAGAAAATAAATCTTGTGCAGAGTGGGATTTCTTTTTCTGCCTATTGGGATAAGAAATTCTTCACTGCATGTGTTGAAGCCATTACACTGAAAGGGTTCAGTAGGCATGTGTGCAGCTCCACAGCCCTTAGGCTCTTCTACTGTAGAGCAGTACGGCAACTGCTCAGGGATCTGAGCAGAAGGATCCTTTCCTCCTTGCAGAACACCTGATTAGTCCTCTTATTTCAGCTAGCCTTGAAGAATGGTGCATGTCTTTCAAGGTTTATCACTATATAGGCTTTTTATACATACAGCAGAAGGCTATTTATATGTTGTGTTCATTTGATTCCATATTTTCCTATCAGTGTGTGTTCACGGCCATTTGCATCATGTTAACTATCATGTTTCACTGAGGATCTTAAACATGTACATATATCTACATCCCTTAATTGAACCATGCAATGTTCTTCAGACCAAGACAGATTACACTGTTTCTGTTTTACATAGTGGTAAAAGCTGGTACACAAAATATAGGATGGTTAGGGCAGAGTCACTCCTTGAACCAGAATGAAATACAGGACTTTTAATTGCTGTGGCTCAATTTATCACCTGTCTACAGCTTTTCAGTCACAATAATATTATGGGTGATTTTATTTTTTTATTATGGATTATTTTTGTTTAGGTTTTCATGCTATGTAAGGCATGCTATGTCACGCATCTTTAGAAATCAACTTTTTATATTGATTTTTTAGTTTGGCAAACTGCCACCTAGCTGCACATTTCCCTGAGCAGTTCCGTAGTCAGTGTGATGATAGGACAGAGGTGAAACATCTGCCAGCTAAGATTTATTTGGATTCACCTGAAATATGCTTCAATAGTTAAGTTTCTGATAGGAAGAAGGGACAAAAATAGAAAACAAGTATTATTACAGCTACAATTTATACAGTGACAGTTGACTTATATATATAACTTTGAAGCAAATACTGTCATGAACATTATTTTTAGTCTGAAAATATCTGATGCTAAAGCTTGCAACATTAGTGGGAAAATGAGGATTACCCAGGCACATTTTAATAGCTAGAAATTTGGGAAAAGAAACAAGGGGAAAATGTAAAGGCATAGGATGCAGATTTACTGAATGTTTGTTTGGAGGGAGTGAGAGCTGATTGTTATAGTAATTCTCTGCTTAGGAAATAAAATCTGCATATTAGAGTGAAGATGTGGAAATAAGGTATATGAAGAGAACCTTCTATTATTTTGGGTTGAAGTGGATGTGACATCATTTGGAGAATTACAGCCAGGCTGCAAAAGCATTAAGTGGGTATTTCACCAGCACAGAAACTATGTGCTTTAAACAATACTTTAAATGATGCTTTTTATATCTAACATTTACTGGTCTGTTACCTTATCCTTGTATATCTCATGTAGAACTAGAAGAAAAAAGAGGAGAATGTAAGCTACGTCTAAAGATACATGAAGAATGGTAAG